CTCTCTCTCTCTCTCAAAAATAAACATTAAAAAAAAAAGATTTAAAATAAAAACATAATAAAAAGAAGTATTTTGTTTTAAGGGGCGCTTGGGTGGCTGAGTTGGTTAAGTGTCTGACTTTAGCTCAGGTTGTGACCTAGCGGTTCATGGATTCGAGCCCCGAGTTGGGCTCTGTGCGGACAGCTCAGAGTCTGGAGCCTGCCTCAGATTCTGTGTCTCCTTCTCTCTCTGTCCCTCCCCCTCTCCTGCTCTGTTTCTCTCTCTCTCTCTCTCTCAAAAATAAACATTTCAAAATTTTTTTTAAAAAATGAAAGATTTTGTTTTAAGAAGAACTGCTTATATTTTCTATCAGCTGCAGAAATTTCCAGAGGAAACAGAGCAGTAAGTATCTCTGAAACTCGGTTCTCTAAGTTTGGGGCCAGCTCTCGACCAATTAGCTTTTCTTTTTAAGATTTTATTTTTAAGTAGTCTCTACACCCAAGGTAGGGCTCGAACTCAAAACCTGGAGATCAAGAGTCATATCCTCCCCTGACTGAGTCAGCCAGGCACCCTCAGACCGATAAATGTTTTTTGTTTGTTGTTTGGTGGAATACGGCTCTTTTCCTAACGTAGCCAGTCACAAACAAGCGAGTGTAGGACCCGAAGACTAACTGAATTCATAATGTGAATTTTCATTGCCCATACCGCTCATCACCTCCTACAGTCACAACTGCAAGTAAGGTCGAAAACCAGAAATGAATATAAAGGGGAGTCCCCGAGCAGGGACGCAAGTAAGGACGCAAAAAACTTTAAAAAAAATTTTTTTAATGTTTATTTTTTGATAGATACAGAGTGCGAGCCGGGGAGGGGCAGAGAGAAAGGGAGACACAGAATCCGAAGCAGGCTCCAGGCTCCGAGCTGTCAGCACAGAGCCCGACGCGGGGCTTTAATTCACGCCCACGAACCGTGAGATCATGACCTGAGCCGAAGTCGACGCTTAACCGACTAAGTCACTCGGGTGCCCCTGAAAAAACTTTTTAGAAGCCTGTCGAAGGGTAGAAGTTACTGGCAATTCAGGGCCCGTACCCTGTACCGGTGGGTCCCTAGGCAAGTCAGTGCGGGTCTCTGTGACACAGGGTGATGCCACAGTGCCCGCCTCCTACCCTGGGAGCACTGAATTGGCCAACACACGTAATAGTTAACGTGCTTGTCAAAGGTGAGCGGTCATTTGTGCAAGTCATTTTCACACTCCAATCAGCAGTACGGATGACCAGCCACGTCCCAAAGTTCCGTGTGTGTATGTGTGTGTGTGCGCATCTGTAATATGTGAATTAGAACACCTCAGAGAAAACGTGATATAGTTCCAGGAGAATGTTTAGTGAGTCAACCATAGCACTCAGCTTGTTCAACATTAGCTACTGGGCTGCTGGGTCCGAATGAGGGGTCTACTGGCTTAGAGAGAGAGAGAGACTAACCCAGAGCATTACATCCCAGTGTGGGGGTCAGCACACCTTTTCCGCCAAGGGCCACATAGTAAATATTTTAGACCAACACCACGGCAGGGTTTGTAAGTCATGGCCATTATTTTATATTAATTCTACAACCTGAATGAACGTGAAACGGTAACTTAACCGCTTCTCAAATCATCCTGACGTCAGTATGAACGTGTAAAGAAAGCCTTGTAGAGGGGTGCCTGGGTGGCTCAGTCGGTTAAGTGTCTGACTTCGGCTCAAGTCACGATCTCATGGTTCATGGGTTTGAGCCCCGTGTCGGGCTCTGTGCTGACAGCTCAGAGCCTGGAACCTGCTTCGAATTCTGTGTCTCCCTCTCTCTGCGCCCCTCTCCTGCTTGTGGTCTGTCTCTCAAAAATAAAGAAATGTTAAAAAAAAAAAAAAAAAAAAGCAAGCAAGCAAGCCCGCCCTCTGGAAACCCAACCAAAGTAGAGTATTCACACCCAGTTTACAGGTGTACAAACACAGAGTGCCGTGAGGACATGCTTTTCTTCCCCTTCTGTTTCCATTTCTTGATAATATTTCCCCACAGCAAGGACTTCAAATTCCCGCCAAGTCTTAGGAATGACATGACCATCCAATCCCTGTTTTTTGGGGGTCATGATTCCTGGCTGTTGGCGACTGAGGACACAAATCCAGAGGACGGGTTCAGACTCAGAGCCAGATGGCACCTACACCGCCTCATTCCTTGCCCACCCATGGCTTCTAGATGCACTTGGGTGCTCGCAGCCGCCCCGCCTTGACTCCATCACATCCACCGGCAGCCCCGTCCAGGGGCTCCGTGGCCGTCAGGGGCGCGCCCGCTCGTGCGCGGCTCCGCTCTACTCCCGTGCTCGGAGAGGCCCGCAGCCCTTCCACAGGAAGTAACGATGTATCGAATCAGGGAAACAGAAGCCTGGCCTCTCGAGAGAAGACAGTCCGTGTTTCCAAAATGGCCCAGTGGTGAAGGGTTTCCGTCCAGTGCATCCCACACCCCTTTGCTTGTTCAAGCGTTGCATAAATGCAATCTGGGGACTTCCTGTGTCACTGAATAATGCACCTCAAAAACAGGGGGGGAAGTCTGGCACAAAGGTCTGTGGAACGGTAGACTATATTGAGAGCATACGTATTATAAATGAACAGTAACATCAAACCCACAAAAACAAAACCGAATAAACCTCTTCTGCTATCTTTTTTTTTTTTTTTTAATTTTTTTTTCAACGTTTATTCA